TACATACATATTAGTATTTGTCCTAATTTTATTTCTTGGTTTATCGGAATTTTAAACCTTAGACATTTTCTCTTATTTCTTCTGTTATTTTTTTAACATGAAGCAAAAAAAACTCACTAGCTAAAAATTTGATTTAAGGATTTATGTATCCTATGCAACTTTTATAGAAGCATATATCCATCTGTGTGTTAAAGATTTATTTCATTTTTCGCCAGGGGTGAAGTTGAAAACAAAATCTATGATGTAGAAACCTAGTGCATTCCTTGATTGGCCGTACCCTCGGCTCACCAGCTTGGGTCGACAAACTTAAGAAAGTAGACTATCGCCGCCTACCATTGGCAAACCACGCGCTCAGTGGTAAGCTTCCACTCGACGACTGCCAGAGAGGTTACCAAAGAAATACAATTAGGTGAAGTGTATATAATATCTATGGGTTTTTGAGTCTGTTTTACATCACCATACGGTAACCTAAATTAATTTTGGTATGTGAATAACATAATGACATTATTTGTATTTCTTTGGTTTTCTGACCCAAGCTGTGCTGATGAGCCTTGAATAGGCGAAACTGTAGACCACAGCAGAGGATACGGCCAATCAAATAATACATTAGGTTTCCACGTCATAGATTCTCTTTTTAATTTCACCTTTGGTGAAGGCCTGGCATGGCCAGGTGGTTGTGGCACTCGACTCGCAATCTGCGGGTCGCGGGTTCGAATCCTCGTTTCACCAAACATGCTCGCCTTTTCAGCCGTGTGGGCGTTATAATGTGACGGTCAATCCCACTATTCATTGGTAAAATAGTAGCCCAAGAGTTGGTGGTGGGTGGTGATGACTAGCTGCCTTCCCTCTAGTCTTACACTGCTAAATTAGGAACGGCTAGCGCAGATAGCCCTCGTGTAGCTTTGCGCGAAATTCAAAACAAACAAACCCATTGTATCAAAATCCTCCATTCCTGCCAGTGCTCTAAAGTCTTCTATTTTATTTCTTACACTTCTAGCATTACAATAGCAACAATTAAGCCTACCTACCCTTAAAACTACTTCTATATTCATTTTTTATTCTAAAATTTTCTCTACATCTTATTTTTTCTGCATTTAGATTATCCTGGTCCTCACCATTGTCTAGTCCTAGTTTCAAACTTCCCTTACAGCTGATTTAATAGTCCTTACAAACAAGCCAGCCCCTACCCTATTTAAATGTAAACCATCCATTTCAAAAAGCTCCATTTTTCTATTGAAATGATCCTACAGGCCTAACCAGCCAATCTGCTCATCCTTACATATTAACTTAAGTATAGCATTCAGCCCTAGTGACATACTTATAATTTCATCCCCACAATCAATTCTCGAGAGTATCCCTGACACAATTAAGTTGCGATCAGTTTCTTTAAATTCCTTTATACACCCTCTGTACTTATCAATTATAGCTCCTCTGATCTACCTTTCCCTACATCATTAGCCCTAGGTGCACAACAAAGACTGCATCATTCCTAGCCCTCTTTAGTATATCTCTTGCTCTGTCAGTTATATCCTCTACCTGTGACTCTGGATAGTATGTTCTTTTCTTCCTATTTACCTCACAGACTATCCTATCCAGATGCCTTATCAAAGAATCACCCATAACTCTAACCTCCTTCATTCACATCCTTTACTGTCTTTTTTTTTTGTTTCTTTACCGCCAATAATTCCTCATCCGTACAAGATAAAAAAGCCTGTTACTCAATAGAACATGCTAATTACAAACAAATCCACTACTTTTACCCTGATAGTACTGTTCCTATCTTCCTGAAAGTCATTGTTAGCTGATGTATCCTTTCTATGTAAAGATTAAGTTCCCCTTGAAATCCTGCTGCCATTTCCCACAGTTTACACTTCTCTTTATGTATTGCTTCTACTTTAATTAGGATAGCCTCCAATTTCTCCTCCTAGTCAGGAATGTTATGATTTTGACCTCGAGTAGGAAAAGTAAAAAAATCTGGGTGAAACAAACTCAATTTGGTCAGAAAAACTTGGCCAAAAGTGTGGGTTAAGGCTGTAATAAGCCCAGTTATAACAGTTCTTTGTTCTAAATTATCTTTTGGGGCAGAGTACAATAATTAAGGAAAATCGTGTGAGCAAGCTCTATGCCTATAGACTTATGTGTGCTCGTGCTTGACCAACCTATAGAGCACGATCTCTACTACCTGCAGGTAGTTGATGATGACATCCTTGGGCCTAAACTTGAGCTAGATCCATTGCAATCAGGAAGTCAGCATGCAAGTCTGGGCCAACCATTGTAGCTGCCCATTCTCACTAACCACTTGATCAAACATTAAATGCCCAAATCTGCTCATTCCAGAGAGTGATATGTCTGGAATATTCCAGGGCATGGCTCAGCCCTTCGTCACTTTCTCTGTCACGCACTAAAGGAGAGGTCTCCTTTGCTTTCATAATGGGCTCTCGTGGTTTCATGATGGATCTCTTCCTTGTGGACTTGCAGTTCACACTGGAGTGGAGAATCCCATATAATGGGTAAGCTATTAGGTAGGTAGTTTCCAGAAGCCATGCACTCTTCTGAGCATCAACTCTGGCCTCTGAAGCTGCCAGGCAATAAGATGCTTGATGCAATGCACCTCATCTAACTTCCCTGCAAACTCCTGGGATAATAACTCTTAAAGGATAATAACTGGTAAATGATTCAATGATTCAATAGAAAGGCAGCTTCCCAATGTCTATACAAGTTTGTTTTTGCTTTTCATTTAGACTAAAGATTGTTGTATACTTTACATCACGTGTCCAGTCTTTTCATTTTCTTAAGTTAAACTCGATCATTTAGTTAAATTCAGATTTACTCTGTAATTATCCTGCATGAATCTCCCTTTCTAAAAACTGACCTATCTAATACTTGTACGGAAACCAGTTTACTCTGAGAATACCACTCTGCCATTACATGTATGCTCATTAATCAGTCCCTATCTGTCCGCTGTACTCGAATTTTGACGTTAAAAAATTTCAGTGAGTTTCTGTATTTCCGATTATTATTAGTTACGTCAGTATACAACACCTAAATACACAATATATTGGAATTTTGATGTTAAATGTCCTTAGTGAGTCACGTGAGTTTTTGTATTTCTGACTTATTTAGATTAATTTTGTGTTCGGTATACAGCCCCAAATGGAATTTTGATGTTAAGCTCCTCCAAGGTTCTAAATGTGTTGGTGAAGCGTGTTACATTTTAAATAATCGTTTGTTAAATGTATTATTATGTATGAAACCTAGAACTTAGTTAGGATTCCCTAAATATTTGTGTTAAAATTTTCTGATACTTTCAAATGCTAATAATCCAGCGTGAAATAGCCAAACGTGAAGTTAGTTATCTGAAAATTTAAACTAATAATATTTTTGGCTTTAATTCTGATAGATATATATTAGGCATAACTGAAACTAACCTAAATCTGTTGTGACTCGCCCACGTCCCATGCTTTTGGTTTGTTTTCTTGTTCGGTAATTTGTTCTAGCTATTTCTTCTAGCCATCCCTAAATTAGAAGTGGTAGACTTGAGGTGAGACAGCTTGTCAACATCACCCACTCATAACTCTTGGGCTACTCTTTGCTAACGAAAAGTGCGATTGACCGTCATATTAAAAGGCTCAACTAGCGAGTATGTTAAGGGAAGGGATTCAAATTCGCGACCCACAGATTGCGAGCCAAGGGTCCTAACCACCAAGACATTTTGGTTTGGGAGCTAAACTGAGTGGTTTAAAAAACGTCGTTGGGAGCATAGTCGAAACCCTTAATAAAGTAAATACAATTATAGGAATTCCTATCAAAATATCTGCAGTAAAAACAAAAAATTTAGATCGAAATATGTTTATTTCTCGAAGTGGCCAAATTTATCTTAAGAAAATAAATCACTCTAGACGAATTTAACAATGTCTGTAGGTCGAATATCCAGTACGTTTTACCCTTTTTATGCACAGGAGTACCTAGAGGGCGTTTTAGATGGTTAAATCTCGCACTCCCTTCTTGGGGAGTTTCTTTTTTTTAACTTAGTTTATGAAATAATCAAGGAAGTCGACTGTTTTATCAGCCTCAATGGGCTGATAAATCCCGTTAATCCCAACATACTTAAAAGAAGAAGAAGAAGAAAAGCTATATTTTCATAAGTCAGTCTGCGCTCCATTGATTGGTATGCTTTTGATATTAGCAACTTAGAGAGCTACGTCATACATGATAAGTCTAGTCCTAAGTGCCTCTCCCCTTGAATATTATTAATAAGAAACTAATTTAGTAAAAGAGGTAACCAGCACTTTTTGTTGTCTAAACTTCCCGCTAGAACTGCTTATGTTTCAGTCATAAGAGATAGTTACTCAAATTTTCTTACAGAACTTATGTTCCCGCTCTTATTTTGAAAGCTATTTATACCTCGTTAACTTATAAATGATTTCCAGCGGCCAGTACTTTATGATTCTCTACTTTTTTATTGTGGTTTGTTTATTTGCTGAATTTCGTACAAAGCTACTCAAGGGCTATCTGCGCTAGCCGTCCCTAATTTTACAGCGATAGACCAGACGGAAGGCAGCTAGCTAAAACCACCTACCGCCAGCTCTTGGGCTAGTCTTTGATCAACTAATAGCGGGATTGGCCGTCACATTATAAAGACCCTATTGTTGAAAGGGCAAGCATGTTCGATGATGGGATTCGAACTCGCGACCCGAAGATTGTGAGTCGAGTGCTCTAACCATCAGAGCATTCTGGATTAATAATTGTACTCATATTTAAAATAGTGATTGTCCCAGACGTAATAGAGACAATGTTCGGACATAACAATTTACTAAGTTGCTTGTTTCAAAAACAATTTTACCTAAATGTATCTGTATATCAGCTCAAATTAGAAGTGAGAACATGTTGAAAAGAGTTTAACATTTAACATTTTCTTTTAACGTGATATGTATAAATGGATATGATTGTTATATATTTAAATATTATTATTCAGGTAATTAAGTTACAAAGTTTTTTTCTTATTAATTAAACACTTTCTTAAAATTTTAATCAATATGTCGAGCTCTAGAGCTTATACAAAATAAAAATATCTGCATATCTGTCTGCTATTTATATACCCTTCATCAACATATTGGCTTAGTATTTTTACGTTTGTTCAGAACTTAAAACAAGTTTGTTTTTATTTCTATATACATTTGATGTTATTTATTGTTTCTTGTTTTCTAGAAAAAGCATATTCTTCTTCCTCACACGATTGGTGCATTCATGCTCTTCATAGTGGGAGTGATCTACACCCTCCTACAGACCATTGTAACTTACTTGATGTATCCAAGACACCATGGGTTAACGCTTTTCTACGTCCGGCTTGCTTGTGGAGTTCTGGCTTTAGTGTCTTTAATAACCAGTATCCTTTCTAATGCTGTTTAATAAGTTTCTAAAGTTTCATGGACCAGATCTGGAAAGAAGATCTTGTTTGTTGTAACTAAGCAAAAAGCGACACAATGGGCTATCTGTGTTGTATCGAAACCCGGTCTTTAGCGTTATAAAACTTTAGGTTTTCCGCTGAGCCTCTTGGGGATAAAGGCAGAAGAAAATCATGCGACATGTTACCTTTGGTGAAATGTTAATCTGTGTTTTATTGAGTACAATAATTTTATTTATTTATTGTTTTTATGAAGAATAAAGGTTTGTTGTTGGGACATCCGAAGGGGAAATTCTAGATGTGTATTTTAACACCCTTAGAATAATAATGATAGTTTAACTTCAGTAAAAATAATTACTCGTTTCGAAGCTGCAATTTATCAATCTTCTAGTCAGGTTTTTACTGCTAAATATATCAACAAACAAAGCATTTATATTGTATATATATATATAGGGTGATCATAAAGATTATTTAAAACGATTATATCGTTAATCAGAAGCACATTAAGAATCATGAATTTTATTCATGAAAGTTTCATCATGTTACGTGTTTCAAAACCTTTCACAGAAGGTGTTCAATATGTTATTTTAAATTAGGTTCTTGCAAGTATTATCTGTTCTACCTACCATTCATTCCTGTAGGTATCCTACATACTCATACACATTTTTCTAAATCATTACTCTCATAACGATGTCCCCCAGTGGCACAGCGGTATGTCTGCGGACTTACAACGCCAGAAACCGGGTTTCGATACCCGTGGTTGGCAGAGCACAGATAGCCCATTGTGTAGCTTTGTGCTTAATTTCAAACAAACAAACAAACTCATAACGATAAACTAGTAGAAGTAATAGCAATGGTAATTCGTGATAAAAGCGATTTACCTATGTTTTCTAACCACGTTGTATCATGTCCAATCTTTCCTGAATAAAGCTTTGGGTTCTCAATGAACTGCTGATGCACCACAATCGCTGGCATCAACAGCTAATGCGAAAGGCTTATCAAAGTCACGTACCATCAATACATGGTAAGAGCACAACAAAGATTTGACCTTTTCAAAAGCAGATTGACACGTTTCAAATCATTTGAACTATTGATTTTTTTCAAAAGGTTTGTTAATGGTACAGTGATGGCAGCAAAATTTTTACAAAACTTCCTGTAATAACCAGCCGTTCCCAAAAATCTCATCAAACTTTTCTTGTTGGTAGTAGTTGGATAAATGACATTAAAATCAATTTGGGCTTGAATTGGAGAAATTTGGCCATAGCCTACTATATGATCTAAGTAAACAACTTTGGCTTTACAGAAGTCACTTTTTGCCAAATTTACAGTGAGATTGGCTTTCTTAAGCCTCTCAAAAACATCGCGTAATACACATAAATGTTCTTCTCACGTGTCATTAGAAATCACAATACCATCAACGTAAATTCCAACATCTGAAAAATTGTTGAGGCATTGATTCATCATTCGGTGAAAAGTTGCTTGAGAATTTATCATCCCAAAAGGCATTACATTGTACTGATATAATCCGTCAGGAGTAACAAAAGCAGAGATTTCTTTTACCCTGTTAGTTAGAGGAACAGCCCAATATCTCTTTAGGAAGTCACACTTCGGGATATATCTGGCTTTTCCAATTTTATCAATACAATCTTTCATTCTTGGAATGGGATAGGAATCTATCTTTGTCAAATCATTTACTTTGCGAAAGTCTGTACAGAATCTAACCGAACATCAGATTTAGGAACCAGTACACAAGATGAAGATCAATCACTTTTGCTGGACTCTTTAATGCCGTTTTCCAGCATATAACATATTTCTTTACGCATTTGATCGGACTTGATTGGATTCACACGATAGGGATCTTGTTTCACTGGAGAAGCGTCACCTATATCTACATCATGAACAGCGATATTGGTTTGATTGGGAACGTCCGAAAATATACATTCGAATTCAGTCAATAAACTAGCAAGTTGATTTTTCTCTTCAGGAGGCAAATGATCGAGTTTGGAATCAAGAGTGGCCAGAATGTCAGTATTACTCAGTTTGATGTTGCATTCATCTCCAATATTTTCAAATTTACGGGGTCCGAATCCAAGCAACTGTCATCAGTATCAGGAGAACACTCAATGGCTAAAATATTTTCGGATGCATCTCGGACGTGATAGGGCTTCAACATATTAATATGACACAGCTGGGTAGCATTTCGACGATCAGGTGTTTTCACAATACAGTCTGTATCATTAACATTCCGAACAACCTCATAGGGACCATGATAACGAGTTTTGAGTGTATGTCCCATAGTGGGTAACAATACTGAGACCATGTCACCAGGATGGAACTTACACTCTTCAGTTTTACGGTCGTAAACAAATTTTCTCGAGTTAATTCACAAGCACCCAAGAGTCTGTACTCTTGACCTAAACTTGAAAACGTAATCCAACAAGTGCATTTCTTTCGAATCATCTTCCAACCATTGTTCCTTCAGAAACTTCAAAGAACCACGCACTGAATGGCCAAACACCAACTCAAACGGGCTAAACCCTAACGACTCCTCAACTGACTCACGAATAATAAATTAACTCCTTTATCCTAATCATTTTCGTTATCGAGACAGTAAGTCCCCATCATATTTATCAAAGTAGAATGGAATCTCTCAAGAGCACCTTGCGATTCTTAATGGTATACACTAGATTTGATCTGTTTAGCATTGAGCTGATAAACAACTTGTTGAAACAACCCTGACATAAAATTTAATCCATGATCAGACTGAATTTCTTTATCCAAGCCAACAAAAATAAAGAAATTAATCAAAGCCATAGAAAGTTTTGGGGTGAAATGTTTATCAAAAGGATAGCTTCAGGGAATCGAATGGATGCACACATGATAGTTAACAAATACTGATTCCCCGATCGAGTTTTTGGTAAAGGCCCAACACAATCAACAATCACTGAATGGTTCTTCGAAAGCTGGGATAGGTTTGAAAGGAGCAACAGGAATTTTCTGGTTAGGTTTTCCAACCAACTGACAGGTATGACAAGTTTTACAAAACTAAGAAACATATTGCTTAATTTTTGGCCAAATGAAATTACTCATAATGAAATATCTCTTGTTGACACTTAAATGACCTTCCATGGCCTTTCAATATTTCAGAATCATATGCTTTGGGAACAACGATTTGAATAACTACTTCCC